GAAAACATCACCAACGTGGGGTAACTCCCCTGTGAGTAAAAAGGGAAGCAAGCAGCATGGTTCCCGAGAACACAGGGTCAGGCAGACCTGGGTCCCATCCTGGCTCTGCCTGCAGCAGTACCAACGCTGGCCAGCTCCAGACCTCTCTGAGTCCCAGCCTTCCTAGCTGGGTTATTTCAAAATATACGTCAAAAAAAAATGTGAGAGTAGATGATAAAGCAGACTTCTTACATACATTACAACCCAGGTGGGTCTCAAGGCATTGTGCTGAGTGAAAGAGACCAGATTCAAAGACTATGTAGGGCATTTCCCATTTATGTGAAATGTTCAGAAAAGGCCATTTTAGAGCAGAGGCCAGCACACATTTTCTGGAAAGGGTGAGGGACTAAATATTTCAGGCTTAAAGGACCACACTGTCTCTGCTCAATGCCACAGCTGCTGGGAGAAAGTGGCTACACTGACCACCCATGAAGAGGCCCGGCAGTGTTCTAACACAACAGTACAAAGACAGGCGGCAGCCGGCTATGGCCACACCAGTAGCCTGCAGACCCCCAAGCAGAAGCAGAAAGTACATCAACAGTTACCTGAGGCCACAGTGCCTGAGGTGGAAATGGTTTAAGCACAGAGGGGCATGAGGGATCTTCTGGGAAATGTTCTAAAACTGCATGGTGATATCTGTAACCTTTAACTTTATAAAAGTCATCAAATTCTGCAATTAAAACAGGTAATATTAATGATATGTAAATGGTATCTTGATAAAGTTGTAAAAAGCTTTAAAGGATCAGATGAGGATCAGTCTTCATTATCATTATTTTATTAACTGCCAACAGCAGCAGCAGCATTCCTGCACTGAGCTGCACACCCAGAACAGGGACTAAAGATCAGTCCCCCTCTTCTCACCCAAGGCCAGCGCCCAGATGGCCAGGAATGCAGGTCAGAGGAGCTGAAACCACAGCTGCCAAAGCTGGACTGAGAAAGAGAAGGCAGATGGGTGTTGCCCTAGGAGAGCAAACTATTTCCTGAAAGCTGGTGGGCTGCCAAGCAGGTTGCTGGGAGCCCCCAGAAGTAGATGCGGCAGACAAAGTTCTCTTTGTATGGGTCCATCTCTGACCCTGCAGCCAAGCTCACCAGCTCCTTGGGGATGCTGAGCAACCAGGCTGGGGAGAAGGCTTGGTGGCAAGGGGTGGCCCCTTAGGCTCCAGGACAAGACACAGGGCTTAGAACCACTTAGGTTCTCTGCAGTAACAGGAAGCCAGCTTCTGCCTGGAGCCTTGCGTTGTGCTGGTGCACACCCCTCTTCCCTCCAGCCTGACCACCTACAGCACTCGGCTTCCCTCCTCTCTGCACAGGCCCTAATTCTCTTACCAGGACTTAGCCTACCAGCCTGGACCCCACCTGTCAGAAGGCACAGTGAGGACAACAAAAGGGCCCTGGCGAGCCACAGGCCTGTGAGACCAGGTGAGTATGAATCGTTAGCTCCAGATAAGGAGAGGCAAGTTTGAGATTTCCTAGGTCAAGTCCCCCACTTACCAGAATGGCAGCCCAGGTGGGTCACATGTCTCCTCTCCTCTCCCTGGCTTTCCAGAGGCACGATGCCCAGCACACCTGATAAATAAACACAGGGAATCTGACTTCTGGCCTAATGGGAATCATCGAGCTATGAGCCTAGGACTCCCAGGGGACACAAGACCCAAAAGCTCAGGCTTGGACCTTCCCAGAGCCTCTACCATCACAAGAGCACACCCCTCTGGAAAGAGATTGGCCCAGGGTTAGGTCCTTCCCTACACAAGAACCTTCTGTGACACTGGAGATAGAGAAGACCCTGGGGAAAGAGGCTCTTTCTGCCACTGTGGGTCGTAAGAGGTAAGGTGACAGTAGCTGCCATTTTTCCCAGCTTTACCTAAAAAAGAAGCCATTACCCGAGTGCAGCAGAGCTGAGGGACAAGAGCAAAGCTGGTGCCAATGGCAAGTGTGAGCCTCTGGATACAGCTTTGCCTGAAGCCCCTGGACTTATTAGCTATATGAACTAAAAAGGCATCGTTTTTGCCTAAGCCAGTTTGAGGTTTGAGTTCTCACTAACAACCAAAAGAGTCCTAACTAATGCAAGGAGCTTCACAAATCTTAGTATTCCTATTAATTCTAGCCACTCCCAGGCCCCCAGAGAAGGAGTGAACGGCATGTGGGGACAACTGGAAACAAAGGCAACAGCCCTCTCTCCACCCTCCTGGCCATGTTCTTAAAGACCACAACCAATGTGGTTTACACAAAATATATACACACGTTCTAACCAAAACCAGTATGATTACTGCACAATGACCACTTTGTAGGGGTCTACGATCCTACACGGTGTTGATCTCTGAGCCACCAAGAGGCACCTCCAAACCTCCAGGCTGCAATGAGTATGTCCCTCTGCCCCACCCTATTTGGGTAACAATGCCTGAATCTCCACATCCATGTCCACCTCCTTACCTGGATGGTCAGAGTTGAAGGCGATCAAGCTGCAGCTGGATTTGATATGGTTCCCACAAGAGGGGGTAGTTCCTGCTCGAATGTCACTGATCCAGGACTGGAAATAAAGAATAAGAACCCTGAAGGCCAGGGCTCTGCTAGTGCCTAAAACACAGCATGATTCAGGGAACCCAAAAGCTGCACCATTAGAAATGCATTCCTTGGGATCAAACCCTGGCCCCACTCACACAGTCCCTTAGAAAATGCAAAATGTTCTTGAAATAATCTAAGTCATAAAGGGACTGTATTTGCTTATTAAATCAGTTCTCCAACAAGGCGGAAGAGGCTGAAAAAGGAAGCTCAGGCTGAATGAAGTCAAGGAGCTAACTGGGCAGTGTTCACTCACATGTGAATTATTTCTGTTAAAAGAGGTAGAGAGAAGCAAAGAACAGAGAAACAAGCACCTAGTCAGAAGACAGATTCAAGTTCCTCAACTCTGTGGCTGAAGACCTCCACTTGAGTCCAGAGGTCTCCTCCAAACACCAGGAGAAAACACCCAAGCCCAGAGAAGGGTAAAATCAAGGCCTTTCCACAAAATCCCACAGATGAGTGAATGACCTGGAGGGGCAGAGAAGTACTTTTTCTGAAACTAAGATCAGCGAAGTCCACACATTTCCTCCGCTTATAATAAAGCATCGTTCAACACTCCTCCGAGCCACTTAACAATCTAGCACTCTTATTCCCAGCCCACCCACCCAGTGTCCAGGAAGCCACCTCCACACCTTCATTTTCAGTGTTTACCTGCCTTGGATAGAATATTATTGTCTTGCATCATTTTCCCCTCCTGATTCGCGTTTATGGTACAAATACAGTGACAGAAAATATCTAAAAGAAGAGCAGATCACCTGTTCTCCCATTTGCCTAACATAAATTGTTGTAAATTCTCTCTGTAATCCGTGTTTTCATGCCTGTGTCTTTACCTTGCAGGTCTGAGGACCACCAAGGAACAAGCCCCAGGGTCCCTCAAGGACACTTCAGACCCCTCTCAGCAGTACTTACTTCACTGAGTGATGGTCTCAATGCAAATCTGAGCATCTCTCCTCCCACCCACATTGCCATCTCCTTTCTTCCTTCCGCATTGCACTTAGAATAAAAGCTAACTTCCTGTGGTCTTTAGATTCTGCAAGATCACTCTTGACTCAGTGGACACTGTGCTTCCCCATCACTATCTTCCATCCACCATGGCCCACTTTCCATTCCTGCAAGAGGCACTTTCCTACTCCACTTTTCCTCTAGCTGGCTGCTTCTTACCCTTCTGGGTTCTGCTTAAATGTAACTTTCTTCCAGCACCCTGAGGAGATTAACCCCCACTTCATTGTCCATCTCCATCCCAGCACCCTACCCTTTGTGATTCAGGGCATTTATTACAACTCGCAATGTCCATGCATGCCTGTCTGCTTGCTGGCTGTCCTTTCATGAGGCTCTAGGCACCACAGAGGAAAGAAAATGCTATCCTATTGGCTGTTGTGACTCCAGCAACTGGAACAGCACAAGAGGTTCAGAGAAGATACTGTCCGTTAGACGAAAACCGGGCTTCTGGCCCGAGCTGCGTGCTGGCAGCTGACGTGCTTTGGCTTCTAACAGTCACTAGATAGGGTCATTTCCTAGGCCCACTTATTGGAAGAGAATCTCAGGCCTTCCAAATAACATGGGGAGGAGCTGACCATGGGTGGCATCTTCTATGAAGGCCACTCCTCATCAGGCCAACCGAGCTTCACGGGTCTGAGGAGCCCCCCAGTACTTCTGGACTCCACCTCCTCGGGCTCCCCCAGGCCCCACCCAGCCCCTGGCAGCATCACCCCGAGTAAGGAAATAGCTAGTCGCGAAGAGGAGGAAGCGCCGGCGGAAACCCGAGGAGAGGCGCGCCTCTGATCCAGTGGCTCACCCCTTCGCATTAACAGAATGGACTCGCCAAGACCAGGGCAAAAGGGGACGTCTCTCCCACACACTAGCCCCAGGCAGGAGCGATAGGAGCGGCAGGGAGAAGGAGCCGGCGCTAGCATCTGCGGAGCCGCGGCTCCCCGGCGAGGCAGACCGGAAGCTGGGAAGGCAGGCAGCCTTGCGGGCCTCAGGCCTTGACTCGGCTGGGTGGGCTGCGCGGCCTCGGGGGTCCAGGGGCCAGAGGGGCGTTCCGATCGACCGCGGGGCTCACAGAGCTGCCAGAGAGCCTCCGGGAGCTGCGGACACTGTCTGCCGGGCGGCGATGGGGAGGACCGGACGCCAGTCCCGGGCCTGAAGGGGGAGCCTCGAGACGTACTGGCTCGGGGATCAGCGCGCAGGGTCCCGGGAGGGACAGGGGGAGCGGGGCCCTAGGGCCAGGCTCACCTCACGGCGGGATGGCCGGGCTTCCGTATGCCGGAACTTGGACACCTTGAAGCGGCTCATGGCGATGGGGACCCCGGAAACCCAGATTCCAGGACCGGAGCGCTAGCCTTCAGGTGCACCACCAATAGCCGCGACTCCCCGGGCCTCCAGCTCCACCCGCTGCCCACCGCCCTCGGCCACGCCCTGACACACTCCAGCCAATCGCAGCCCGCTCCGGCCAGCTGGGCCCCGCCCCCGGCTATTTTCCAACCGCTCGCCGACGGCCCCGCCCAATCGTTGCTGGTTTACTCGGAAAACCACGGCGGGGTGGGTGAAGGGGCCTACCGGACAAGCGGAAAGGTCACGTGTACTGGTAAATCGTCCTAACCCCGAGCTGTCACATAGTAAGAGCTAGGGGAAACAGCTCTGATTTTGTGTGCAGGGATTTGCCCCCAGAGGCTTCCTGGGGGAGGGGGAGCGGGGCTCAGCCTGCCCTCCCTGGGGAGGAGAGATGGCAGGAATGCACTGGCTCCATCCATTTCAAGTTATGGGGATTGCGATGAGGAGCCATTGGTCCTGGTCCCACAGATAGTGAGTGGCAGCAGGGAATGCAAGCCCAGGTCTGACTCAAATCTTTGTCCATGAGAGTCTACCCTAAAGCCTCTGCATCACACCCATCCTGCTAGGGCCAGGTGGTCTCTGGGAGGGGTGGAGCCTTCAGCATCCCTTTATTAGGGCCTGCCTTGACTGCAGGCCTTGGGTGCAGTGAGACAAGACTCCTCTAAGAAAAATCAATGTATCCTTACAAGTAAGCTGAAAAGGTGAAAGATTCGGGCAATGGAAAATGCATTAAATAGCAAATGTGCCCAAGGGTGTTGCTTGCTCAGTCCAGGGGTGATTCAGGAGAAAAAAAACAGCCTATTTATCTCACCTGGGGCCATTCATCACAGAATTTCTCTTTAAAGATTGACTCACAGTGAGTCCGGAATATGCTTTTGAAACAGAATAGTAAGAAGCTAGAAATATTCCTTGGCAAGCGGAAACTGAGACAGATAGCCTAACACCATGTCTGAGCAATTTACATTCAGGTGCATATGTTCACCAAGGCAGAAGGTCCAAGTGCCTGGAGCAGTGGTGGGGAGGGGGCTGAGACTGGGAAAACAAGGACCTCATCCCTAGGGTAACCTCTTATCCCACTGCCTTTCCTCCCTGGAGATAACATCTAAGATAACATCTAGACCTCAGTTGTATTTCAGCTCCAAGTCCAGAAAAAACAGCAAAAGCCAGCTGGATGATACCAGAACCAATTGCAATGAAGACCCTGCCACTGACCAACCAGAAGAGACCATGACCCTGAAAGGGCACATCTGGATAACAGGTATATTCTGCTGAAACCTTCCCGAGACCTTGCCTGAGATTCCCTCCTGCAAGAGAGAGAAAAGCCTCAAGACAAAGGACCAAGCACATGAGCTCTCCTGTGCCATTCCCTTCTTCTTCCTCCACTTCAGTCGTCACAGACATGTGTCTCCTAAACCCCAAGGCCATGGGCATCAGGAAGCTTGTCCCTAGCTTATCCCCTGAACCTGTCCCTAAGGCCACTTTTTCTCTGACTTTCCAGTGAGCTAAGACAGCCCAGACCAGGCGCTCCTGTTGCTTCTTCTATACTAAGCCCTTCCTTGGTTTATGGCCAGTCCCCAGCTTTAATAAATGTATTGTATCCTCATAGTCCCCTGGACTTGTGTAGTGAAATCTTTCCTACACTAAGTCAAGAACCCACACACTGCAGATGGCCCTCAGCAGACCCGCTCAGGGCCAGGTCCCTTATTAAGAAAAAAATTAATATTAATCAAGTATACAACTATTGCAAAGTTCATGTAAACCTGCCCAATTTGCTTTTTGTCACTTCATTGAAATCACTGAATTTATTTTTGTTTTTTAATCTACCTTTACCTCAGATGGACCTAAATGGGCACAGTCAGCAAGTGAGAAAGCCTTTAAACCCCAGAGGTAACAGAGGGACATGCCATTGTAACAGAGTGCAGCCAGGGCCCCCCCCCAAGTATGGATTTGTTATGGGGTCCAGAACTCAGGGTGTCCAGGAAATAATAATAATATAGGATGCCCTCACCCCCCTTGCCCCTGCAAGTCTGAACTGGGGGAGGGGACACATGGAGCAGGGCCATTAAGTGTTGTTCTGCATAGCAACAATTTTGTAACTTCAGGCATGGTCATTTAACACATCTATAATTTTTAACCGGTTTTGTGGATATGTTAAATAGCTGTGGCCATGCTTCGAACCAGGGAGATGAAAGTGACTTCCACCCAGGATGTAACTGGGAAGCAGCTCCTCCTGGTTACAACACCTGCCTGAGAACTTAGAGATTATTGACACCACACCACCAGGTCATGCCTGCCCAGACTTACTACGGCAGCCCAGAAAAGCTGGAAAAAAATATGGGAATGCTGGCAGGTGTAGCCGATTGTGGAAGAAATTGGAAATGGAGCTGCAGAGGAAGACTGGTGCTGGGATTTAAACCCAGGTGTGGCAGCCATGCCAGGAGGGACTACATGACTTTGGACTAAGAGGGTACCCATGCAGCTTTGGTGAGAGGGAGAACACGGCTTTGGGGCTCCCTTTGCTACACAGTTTAGGAAGCTAGGAAGCAAGATGTGGCAGCATTGTCGAGCTCTCTCTTAGCAGTTTGGAAGAATACAGGAGAGATGCTGCAAGAAGGAGAGAGTAAAAGGACTCTTGCTGGTGGGCCATGAGAAGGTGCCATGCGTGTTTGAATTAACCGGAGATTGCAGCGGCGACACAGCTGATGGTGCTGGGAACTGAAGGAGGCTTGCCAGTTGAGCGTGTATTACTGGGAAGAACCAGGGGCTACCTGTGCCTTCTGGACTTCTACTTCTTTTCCTGGGATTCGGTACCCCAGACTGGGCAGAGCGGGGAAGGAAGGATTGTATGTGTTTGTGAGTGTTTGATGGAATTTTTGGATTTTAATGAAGGCATTGAGTCATTACTCTTAAGTCTATACAACCTTTGAATAAATAATTCCTTTCTTTTCACCAATCTCTGATGTTAAGAGACGTCATTCCCTGGTGGCAGGCAAGGCAAACCTAGTACAGAGGGACCCGGGGAGAAGGTGGGGGTCTGTTCAGTAATAGTCTATCGTTCCCACCCACCCCTGGGTCCGTTCTGTAACACCATGGGCTAAATCTGGTCCACAGATATGTTTTAGTTGGTTCACAAAGTGTCTTCAAAACTGAGACATTTCCTAAAAGTTTGGATTTCAACCTTTCTCGAAAAGCAAAGATTTGGCAGTGGTGGGTCCACAGCCAACACGGCTAAAATGAGTTGGAGCTGAGAAGCACCCACCACCTTTAAAGCACACTTTTCCATTTCCCTCGGCCTCACTGGTCCCTGTCATCTTACACACGGCCCCTCCACCCTTACACTTGTGGAAGAAAAGGGGCCACATACTGAATCTGACACACTCAGGGGAGGTCTGCATGACAGCCTTGCAAACCGAGAGATTTAAAGGAACCACAAAGGATGCTCTTAAATTAACATTTACCAACTATAAGCAATCCATGGCCCTGCCCTAGGCCGGTATCTTTTTCTAACAAAGGTCATTCTTTACCTTAACTGAGCCTGTCTGTTGTCTTTTTGCATCTAAGATAATAAACCTTTGCAATGTCAAGATAATTTCCTTTTGGGAATTTGTGGGGAGGGATGGGTGGTGGGCTGGGATGGGAGTAAAAGAGAGAAAACTGTACTTGAACAACAACTAAAATTTAAAAATTTAAAAAATAAATATTAAAAAAAAGATAATTTCCTTCTCCAGCCCCCCTCAGAGCACAATCTCCCACCACAGCAGAGACCTCTGGAGCCCCTCATTGTCACTGTGTTCTCTCAGATACCATCTCTATGTGCTGTAAATGGTCATTGTTAACTAGGATGTACCCACCAGTATAAAAGAAGTATGTGTTTATCATTTTACCTTTTATCCAATCCCAGAGATTTCCCCACTTTGCTTTCTCCCACCTTCCTAAGCTATCACTCATGGATTTCATGTAACCCCCTATGTCTCCTCCTTTGATTGTAATGTATACAATAAATAAAGTGTTAACCTGCCATTCTTCAGAGCATTTCTCAAACTATTGAGATTTTGCTTCCCAGTAATTATCATCAGTTTGGCTCAAATAAACTCACAAAAATTCTCTATAGGTTTGAATGTTTCTTATATTGACACACTTCACCTCCCTGGCCCTGGCACCAGGGGTCTGTGACCCCTAATCTTTCCTAGGAAAGAGAGGAGCCGTGACCTGGGATCATGTGATTGTGTTTCTACAAACTGGAGGCTGGTAGGAGCAGAGTTGGAGAGTGTCATCTTCACCACTGCAGCAGTGACCAGCCTGAGCTCCACGGCAGGGAAGAAAGAAGGGCCAAAAACAGTACCAAACAGCAAGTGGGGTCCTGCTGCCCACCACCTGCTAGGCAAAATTCTGGAGGCAGGGGTTTGGTGAAAAATGAAAGGAGTCGTTACCCAAAAGCTACACAATTTTGAAATAACAGCTTTCTATGTGCTCTAGTCGCTTAAACCTATCAATTAAGACTAAAATCTTTAACTCTTGAGTTCCAGCTTTAATCACTTAAGCCTATCAATTAAGGCTAAAATCTTTAATTCCTGAGTTCCCCTATCATTCCCTGATGCAGACTCCTGCCTTCCAGAGTCCGTGTGTTGTGGATGCAGTACACAAATTCACACAGACTACTAAGTCCTGTGGAGAAAAAGGGACGACACTGCCACTCTCAGGGGGACAGGGCCTCTGAGTGCCTCAATCACTCTCTCAAGGGGACAATGCTCCGAACCTTGCCTAGACAAACTTTTATTGGTTTCCAGTCGCATCGCATCAAAGAATGTTCTATTTCTAGATTTAGTCAAGTGATTACTTCTTACACATAACAAAAAAGGAGAAAAAGTTACAAATGCAAGGAAACGATAAAAATGATTGATTTGGTTACATTTCGTCCTTGGGACGTCTTAGCACAGACTTTAGGGAGTTGCTTCAGAGATATACATTAAACATCTGCAGTCTTAACTCAGGGTGAAGGAGTTTTAGCAAAAGCAAGTCTCATAGCAGCCTGGGTACAATGCAGGCCTGATTTCCCAGGGGAACGCTGATCTGCACACCTGGCTCCTGTGTGCTGGCCTCGCATTGATCGGTTTTCTGAATCAATACTTTCCGGGCTACACTCGCCGTTGCCATGCCGATCGGTTCCCTATAATTACCCCTGTTAGTTTTGAATTATCTTATTTCTATAAGGTTAATTTACAAACTAAAACAACATAAGATACAAAAGCTTCACAATTTGGGAAGAATTGCAGGCTTCTGCCTCGGCGCCTGTCCCCTCTAGCACACCCAGAGGAAAAACCCTGCCACCCCCGCCAGGACAGACCAATTCTAGGCTGCACCGAGAGTTCCTTCTCCCATTTAAGAGACTGTCCTTTGGGAAGTGTGGGCATCTGCAGCATGATCAACCAGGCATCCTTAAGAAAGAGCAGGAGAGACAGTCTCTGCCCTCCTTCTGTTTAAACCTTCTGGCCCATAATTCCATGCACACCAGAGGCAGTTCAGCTTCTCAGCCAATCCTGTCCTAGGATGCTTACCATTGCCTCAGGCAACCTCCTCCTACCATCCCTCCTAGTCCTCCCCAGTAATCTGATCAGATCTCTTTGTGTCAAAAGGATGTGGAAACCCCAAGAAGGACCATCTCACATGTTCCCAGATCCATCTGCATTGAGAGAATGATTGTTTCTAGTAGAGAGTTCAGAGCTCTAAGGCTGCTGCAAACTTGAGCAGAATAAATTACTTCATGAACTGCAAAGTTGAACTGACATCCTCTAAGTTTCCTTCCAGTTCCGTGGGCCTATGAATTACCAGCTTTGTTCCTTTATGTTTCCAGTAATTTCACTTGATTATCTCTAAGGACCCTGGAAGACACCACTCAGTTGGCAGCCCTGTTGGTGTTAGTTCCCCCATGGTGGACAGCCCAATCTCTTCTGGAACTGTTGGGAGCTAGTGCAGCAGAAACTTCAGGAGAGCCCTCTGTGGGGACCAGCATTAGTGGTCCAAGGTCCAACTACCTTTACAGAACCAGCAAATGATATTAATGGAAGTGAGGAGATTTCCAGCCTTTTAGATAGTGTCTTTTGGATGGCAGCACCTAAAAACAGACACAGCATTGAAGTTAAGGGGTGTAGGAGAAGAAATCCTCAGAAGCTTATTGAAGTTAAGAACAACATAGCCCTGGCTGGTGTGGCTCAGTGGATTGAGCGCTGGCCTGCGAACCACAGGGTTGCTGGTTAGATTCCCAGTCAGAGCACATGCCTGGGTTGCAGGCCAGATTCCCCAGTGCAGGGTGCACAAGAGGCAACCACAAATTGATGTTTCTCTCCCTCTCTTCCCCTCTGTCTAAAAATAAATAAATAAAATCTTTTAAAAAAAAAAGAATAACATAGATGTTTGCCTGAACGTGGTCACCTGAAGGAGAAATATGTCCTTTGTGGATATTGCTATGAGAAGGTGTGCAAGGAGACTGCAGAAATAAGAAGACAGGGAAACAAAAAGGGGGCCCTTCTAAGGTTCCTACTGCAGAGATCCTGGTGCTGCACACGGGAGAGACACTGACACCATCGGAACAAGAGTGGGACAAGAGACGCCCTGGCTGGTGTAGCTCAGTGGCTTAAGCATGGGCCTGCGAACCAGACAATCGCGGTTCGATTCCCAGTCAGGGCACATGCCTGGGTTGCAGACCTGTTCCCTGCAGGCCAGTTCCCAGCAGGAGATGCACAAAAGGCAACCATACATTGATGTTTCTCTCCCTCTCTCCTTCCCTTCCCCTCTGAAGATAAATAAAATCTTTAAAAAAAAAAAAAAAGAGTGGGACAAGAGGATCATTGAAAGAGACAGGAAGCAACCATCCTGGTTGAACCAGAATGGCCACCAGAGATGTTTAAACAATATGACAACATAAAACATTTCTCCAGGAATAGAGAAAGAGTCTTTGTTTTTAATGTTTTGTGCCTATTTAAAAATCATCAGTGTAGCTTAAAACAGTCTTCATAAGCAGTTAGTTTTGTGTGGATAATTTGAAGATATATCAAGAATGAAGTCTGAACATGTTTATGCAGAGGCGAAAAAGAAAAAGATACCTCTCAAGCCTAAAAGGCAGTCTCTCAAAAGGTGGATGCCAGTAGTATGAGGATGTCTGGTTAGGTTGGTGCATAGCAGGACGATTTAGATTTCACAGGGCCTGTTTCCAAGAATGATTAATAACAAAAAAAATTTTAGGAGGTCATTGTACTGAAGTCCTCATTCTAAAAAATTCAATGAACTTTATGTAACTGGAGGAAGAAATATTAGCAAAAAGAAAAATGATCAGCAAGGAAGGAGAGCAAGAAAAACATTAAAGAGCCTCAAGTTGTGTTCTTATTTTAAACTGACACCAAAAAAAAAAGACATTTTTTAATAGACTATTCCCTTAATCTTCTGTAAGTCAGTGGTTTCTATAAATAAGAATTTGCAAGCACGGCATGGATGAAGCCAGCTTCAGTAAGAATAAATTCCTTATATATAGTTATCTACCCCTGAAATGGCTATTTATTGAGATGCACGTTGAAAACACTTACATAAGCCCTGCCTTGTTCATTGCAGGAGCTGGAGCAGAAAAGCATGTACAGTTACCTCTGCATAGGAAACGAACAACAGTGCAATGAAATACATTTCAAAAATTGGAAAAAACATTCAGAATTCTCCCTTGCCAGCATGACAGTGTACTGTACATTATTATTTTGTTGTTTTTCGAATGGAGGTGTACCCGTGTTGTTGGGGCTCAGAAATTTTACTGTACCCAGTGATTTGTTTTGATTTTTTTGCAGTAACTTGCAAAATATTTTGACAGAAACACAAGGTGATAATTCACAACTAAAGGGCAGTTTCACAGAAGAAAACTGTCCCTTTTCTAAGGCAATGTTTTTCACACTAGAGTCTACTGATTGCCAGAGGATCCAGAGCTTTATTTTCAGCATCTGTGATTTGTTTTTTCCTTGAAAAAATTCCTTTCATTTTTCAGATTTGCAAAACATTGCTTAAGTTTAAGATAGTTTAGGCAGAGGAATATTTAGCTTTGACCTGGAACCACCCATAGTTTATTTAAAAGGACTTCTAAGAAATCATTAGCACGGAAAACACAGACAACTGAGGGGAGGACAGATTTCATCTTTTTCTGCAGGGAACTGCACACACTGCAGATGTCAGGTCTGGGGACATCTGGGTTACACATTTCATTAAGGAGATGCTACAACTAGAGAAACCGTGAGCTAGCTTTTATTACCTCTGAAGATACTGGCTGAGGGCCTTCTGCCCTCCCTGGAAGGGGTCCTCATATGGGGAGGGGAGCAGCCAACCTATCGATTGGCCGTGGACTTGGCCAGTCCCATTGTACCGTGGATGGTCAGTATCTGCAGGATGTTACAGAGAAGAGCATACTTAAAACTTCCTACTAGCTCCCACAGCTCTCACTCCCTCGGGAGAGCAGGAAGGGTCTAATGGAACATTAAAATGAAAAGTGAAGAGGGGGGAGATGTTTGAGAAACATGTATGACTTTTGCAAGTACCATTTGTTTCCCAAAGCTCAAGTTTTTGGCTTTAGTCTGGAGAAGAGGGTGGGGGAAGGGGAGAGACACACAAAATGTCCTGTCCGGACATAGGTATGACCTATGTTCTCATTCCAGTTTTTTCCAACAACCTGAGGATGGGCCCATTAGTAGTCACCATCACCCACTCCATTCCCTTGGGGTCCTCTCCTTCCTACAAGGAAAGAATAATCAGTCTTCCTGTTATCCTCTAAAACAAGAACACCCCCCCCCTTTCAATGTGGAGGACTTCTACTGTTAATCTCAATAGAACTGTACACCTGCAACTTATATAAAATAACATTGAATGTCAACTGTAATTGAAAATATATTTTTGAAAGATTTTATTTATTTTTGGAGAGAGGGGGAAGTGGGGAGAAAGAGAGGAAGAGAAACATGAATGCGTGGTTGCCTCTCATGCGCCACCTACTGGGGACCTGGCCTTCAACCCAGGCATGTGCCCTGACTGGTAATGGAACCAGTGATCCTTTCATTCACAGGCTGGCACTCAATCCACTGAGCCACACCAGCCAGGGCTGAAAATATTTTTTAAATAAAAAATTTTAAAAATTACCCTGGGGAAACAGATGAGGGAGGGAGAAACTAAAGTACAGAAAAAAAAGGGGAAGTTACAAAACTGAAAAGACATTGCATATTAGCGAGCACTCCTCCACTTCCTAACTCACTCTAAGGGGGTAAATTCAAGTCCCTTTGCCTCTTGTTCTCAGCTTTTATTCCTGAAAGTTGCACTTCTCAACCAGCGCCCTCCCCTACTCTTTTCCCCTAGGCTTTGGGCTCCCTGTAGGTGGTAACTGTGAGCTCTGCTTGGTATTCTCAGTGTTCAGCAGACTGGCACATAGGACTAACATACATTGAGCATTTACTACGGGCCAAGTACTATATGAAGCTTTTACATAGATTACCTCACTTTTCAGATGATATTCTGAGGTACTTACTGTTATGTCCCATTTTATTTACTTTTTTCAATTAAAAATTTGTAAAATCCTCACCTGAGGATATGATTTTTAAAAAATTGATCTTTTTAGAGAGAGAGGAAGGGAGAGAAAGAGAAACATTGATGTGAGAAAGAAACATCGAGTTAGAGGGTGGAGGAATTGAACAAAAAGGAAACAGACTAAAAACAAACAAACAAACAAACAAAAAGAAAACAAAAAGGAAAAGAAACGTCGATCGGTTGCCTCCTGTACATGTCCATCAACCTGGGTTCAAACCTGCAACCTAGGTAAGTGCCCTGACAGGGAATCAAATCCCCAATCTTTTGGTGTATGGGATAATGCTCCGCCAAACTGAGCCACCCAGCCAGGGCATTACATCCCCATTTTAGAGAATGGAAACTGAGGCAGGGAGGTAAAATAAGTTGCCCACATGGCGGGTATAAGTGGCAGAGCTGGGATTCAGTCCCAGGAAGGCTGACTACAAAGCTCATACTCTTAACCACAATGCTAGAAACATTTAAATATTGGTTAAATATAGTAAAAGTGCTCTTTTCCCCATTTCCAACCCCATAACACCCTTTTCCTTTTTCTCTAAAATGTCCCTTGCTTACATCAGTGCTCTATGTCCCCTAGCCCAATCTCTCAGCTATTCCTTGTATTTTACAATAACCTCATAAATGTTCTTCACTGAGCTAGCAGTCTTTTTAAAAAATTATTTTTTAAAAAGATTTTATTTATTTTTAGAGAGAGGGGAAGGGAGGGAGAAAGAGAGGGAGGGAGAGAAACAGCAATGTGTGGTTGCCTCTCACTTGCCCCATACTGGGGACCTGGCCTGCAACTGAGTTACGTTCCCTGACTGGGAGTCAAACTGGCGACCCTTTGATTCACAGGCTGGCTCTCACTCCACTGAATCACACCAGCCAGGGCAGCTAGTGTGTTTTTTAAATTGATGGATTTGAGAGAGCAAAGCATCAATTTGTTGTTGCACTTATTTATGCATTGATTGGTTGATTCTGATATGTGCCCTGACTGGAGATCAAACCCACAACCTTGGGGTATATGGACATTCCTCTAAGCAACTGAGCTACCAGGGCCTGGGCTGGCCCATTCCTCTTTGAATCTCAGAACCAGTGGAGAATTATTTCAGAGAGAGGGCAAGGGAGAAAGAGAGAAAGAAAAACATCGATGTGAGAGAGAAACATTAGTTGGTTGCCTCTTGCACACCCTCTGCCAGATACCTGGTGCAATCTAGGTAAGTGCCCTGACTGGGAATGGAACCGATGACCTTTCAGTTCCCACGCTGGTGTTCCATCCACTGAGCCACACCAGTGAGGCTGCTGAGCTACAATTCTTTATCTGCTCCCCTCCCTGGAACACAATGGCCCAGATACTATCTCCATTGGCTTGCTTGTGGACTCCATGGGGCCCAAAGGTAGAACTGCTTGTCAGCCTCCTGGAATCAAGTAGGCCATGCATTCCAGTTTCTGGAGTAACAGCTTTCTACATGCATTAATCCCGTAAGCCCAGCAACTATAGCTAAGGCTAAAATCCTTAACCCTTGAGTTCCCCTATCAATGGGAGATGTGAAAGTTGAAACTCCTTTGCAAGACTTAACCAGACCAGGTTTACTTTTCTGGCTTCTCACACACCCTCAGTTTAGGGCTTAAGCAAACAGGGCAAGCACTTTCCATCTCTAGACATCTGCTTTTGAACTTCTTGCTACTTGGGAGTACTTTTCCCCTCCACCCCTACCTGACCCACTTTTCATTACAGGAATGTTAACACTCAGATGCCTTTCCTGACACCCCAGTGAGAAATTTCTTCACCTGTATGCCTGTAACCTATCACTTACCTACTATGATAGTTGTGAATTCGTTATGTTAGTTGCTGAGGTCTCTCTCTCTCTTCATCGTTCTTGCTGCCCCACAGCAGGATGGTATGTCACTCATCACTATATGCCCAAATACTCTAGTTCGTGCGTGGCACGTAGTAGATTCTCAAAACGTTTATAAATTCGTTTTGGGGGAATTTGGCTCTTACTCCGCGTCTGGCTAGTTCACTACAGGTTTGGAGACTAATGTGCTCCAGAGAAATCTGAGCGATCAAAATCCGCCGCATGGGACACCAGCCAGAGAGTGAGCTTGAGGTCAGACTTTGGGTGTAGAGAAGAGACTCTGGCCCCTTGTGCGTGCACTTGCTGAGTAACACGCAAGAAGTTTAAAGGATCAGGTAGAAGAAAGCTGCGCACAGCAGGTTGGAATCTGTGCAACAAACGACTTCATTGCACCCCAGGATTTGTTCCGCCACTTGCCGAGCACCTCAAACCAGTTACATTCAGCTACATTCGACCACGTCTTTACACAGACAAGTACGGTCCTGATTGCCCGGCACGTAACCACCAAGTTCTCCAGGGCAACTATACCTGATAGCAGAATAAAGAGCAAACTTCACTTCGGGTGTTGGCTACCAGGAAGGGGCGTTAGTTGCCACTGCGCGCGTGCGCAACGCTTAAGTCTCTGCTTGCGCCCGCGCAGCGGCCTCCCCCAACCCCATGCGCAACCCCGCCACCCTCCGCCTTTCAGTGCGCAGATGCACTCCGTGTGAGTTGTCCTCGCGAGGCCTCCTAAAGCCGGTGGCGCACGCGCGGTGTCCCCGGGCCAAGATGGCGGCGCGGTGCTCCACACGCTGGTTGCTGGTGGCCGTGGGGACCCCTCGGCCCCCGGCTGCGGCAGGGAGAGGGGCCCGTCCGCCCAGGGGGGTCGTGGTGGGGGCGTCTCTGGGCCGCAAGCTGAGCGTTACCGCCTTCGCGCCTTCACTGGGAGCTCGCGGCCCTGGGGCGCTACTGACATTGAGACCCGGTGTCAGCCGCACAGGTGAGGGCCGGCTCCAGCACCAGAGTCGGGGCTCCACGGCCTGGAAGGGATTGACTCATCTCGCTCCAGTTACTAGGGTAGCGTGGCGAAAGGTGTTTTCTGACGTGTATGCGGGATTGGATAGGGAGACCCGTAAGCAGGAGGCACAGAGGCCCTAGTGGCTACTCAGAATGCTGCCTGGAGTTCCTGGTGGCGGGGGCAAAATGCTCCGTAGGCCGTGAACCTTCACCTCTGTCAACATTTCTGGAGTCCTCTTTCCGGCCTACCGCTGCCCCGTATCTCTATTCCTTTCTCTTCCCTGCATCTTCTAGCCTGTAGCAGAAGGGAAGAGGTAGCAGCCATTCGATGAGCATCTGCTCTTGTGCTAGGTACTTTGTGCCTCATCTCCCTTGATGGTGACACCAACCCTGCAAGGTGGGAATTATCTTCCTTGTTACAGAGAGTGGGAAATTGAGGTTCTAGCACAGGAACTGATTTGGCCAAGGTCATAAGGTTATATTAAAAAGAGTTGTCCCAAACCCAGAGCTGTATTTTCATAGCTTTCATGCTTTCCACCACATGGTGTAAATTAAAGGTTATACTGAACGGTTAGTTTCTTTTAGAAGTTCTTAAAATAGTAATAAGTGTAATAAAAATACATTTATTGAGCACTTATTATGTATCAGTCATGGACATTTCCATGTAGTAGACACTGTTGTTCTATTTTATAAATAAAAAGAACTGAGGCTTAGATGTTAAACAACTTGTAGGATGTCACAAAGCTGAAAAGTGGAAAAGCCTTTCAAAACCTACTGCTTACTTACTAGCCTGAGTGATAGTTAATATTTGTTAAGCCTTTAGATGCTTAGCCACAACAGTTTTTCATGTGTGTTCAGTGGCTTCCATTATCTGTGAGAGAAGGAGGGAGGAATCATTATTAAACAGCCGTGTACCTAAATTGTGCTAGTTGTTTTTGTCCCCTAAAATTTGTGCAGATGATGACACACTATCAGCAGTCTTACAAAGATAATTAATTAAAGGGCTCTGACAAGGTAATTTACTGTTGGGTTCCAGTTTTGCAATATCATTAAAGTATTAGTAATTGCAATTGTTTTGTGGAGTGAACAAACTCACCTCCATTAGTGCATGTTTGAGTGTGGGTGAATTACCCGTATTTTGCTGTGTATAATGTGCACCCATGTTTTTGGCCCAGACTTTCAGGACAAAAATCTTTTTGTTTTCATTTTCTGATTCATTTTTAAAATTTATTTACATTTAGATACTTGTTTTTTTGTATTATAAAGAAATTTTAGCACTTATTTTTGAACATATTATGCTACAAGATATTTTATGTAACAAATAACTACAAAACACAAGAACAGATACAAGGTATTTCAGGCATTACCCATGTATAATGCACATCCTTATTTTCCCTCAAAAACTTGGGCAAAATGTGTGCATTACACATGATAAAATACAGTATTTAATTTCTTTGAGCACTTAACTGAAATTTTATTCATTTGTGAGTATGTATTGAGGGCTTGCCATAATGCCAGTGGCTGTTCTAGGTACTGGGTGGCAATCTGAGATTGGCTGTGATGTTAGTCAAGTGATCCCATTTTTAAATTCTATTTCTGCCACCTGTATTTTCTCATGGATGGAGCAGTAGTCTGCCCAGGTATCCTTGGGATTATTTGAAGTCATTCTGTATTTCTCAGTATGAGTAAAAGTCATTTTTAGATTTTTGCCTAACATTTTCTAATGTTTAGCTAAATTTGTTCATTTTACATTTGTACAAGTTTGGGGAGCATTTTTTATAATTGTGTGTGTGTGTGTGATGGAGACACACACAGACAAGCACTAAATACTGAGTCTCGTATGCAGCCATTACTAAGGAACTGCAGTCAGCTGTCCTTTTCTCCCAATGGTCATGTTTTGCATCAGGTGAGAGGTGGCATCATCCTTCAAGGTGCACTCTGATACCACATCTAAAGTCATCAATTTAGCTCTCAAATATTGGTCTGTGGTCTCATCTCAAATCAAGTAGTATAATTAGGTGACATAAAAACAACACTTTAAATTCAACTTTTCTCCCAAGCAGAGAAAGAAGGCAGTTGTTTGACATTGCTCTAGCCATTCTTGGAGTGCCTTCAAGGCTAATCCTATTCAGGATTATTCTAAAAAGGGTAAGACATGTTTTTATTGGTCATATCGGAAAATTTGCCTAATAAATGAACTCTTTCTAATCATTGCTAGTCATCAAACTTGCCTTGGCTGGTGTGGCTCAGTGGATTGAATACCAGCCTGTGAACCAAAAAGTCCCCTGTTTAATTCCCTGTCAGGGCACATACCTGGGTTGCAGGACAGGTCCCTGGTTGGGGGTGTGCAAGAAGCAACTGATCAGTGTATCCCTCGCACATCTGTGTTTCTCTCCTTTTTCTCCCTCCATTCCACTCTCTTGCTAAGAAATAAGATCTTTTAAAAAAGTCATCAAGCTTGTAGTAGTTAAAAGTGATTTCTCTTTATTCCTATGCAGCTTTACACCATTCTAACCCAAGTTCAAATTCTCTGCTTAAGACATTGGAGCTGCAGCTGCCAGAGCCTTTGCCACCACCAGCTTCCTCCTAGATTGGAAGGGATGGGAAGGAGAGTCTGGAACAGGCCAGGGTAACTGCTCATTACTGAGTGAAGAGGGAGTTGATTACTTGAGCTTTCCCAGCTCTAGTGTTTTTCTTAAATCTGAACAAAGACAACAGTGGTCTCAGCCCCTACTGCTTCTACACTATCTGCTTTTCATATTCCCAGAAGTCTAGGGTGCAGCAACAGAAAACAAGTACCAGGGATACTCAAAGTATAGATTTTCTTCCTGGTTCTGATTTTAATTATTCTAACCATTCCTACCCATTCTACTGTCTGATTACTCCTCTCTTGTCCTTTTCCTCCATATATGCTTTATACCCTTTAGGCTTTTGTGTTCAGATTAACACTACTTAGTATTTCAGTCCTCCTTGTTTGTTTTTTTGAGAGCTCTTCCTCATGCAAACCTGGTCATTTACCTATTTAATACTTGCAGGGGCTTCATATTGCCCTCAGGATAAAATCTAGACTCAGCATAGGTCAAAGGCCCTTCTGTTTATTTCTAGGCCCCATTAATCATCGTTGTCTTTAACCACCCCTTGGCCATTACCACAACCACCAATACAGGCTCATGTGCGTGCATGCATGCACGTGCCCACATACAAACACAGAGTTGCTAGTTTAGTACCTGCAGTTCCTAAATGCAAAGGAATGAACTACTCCCTCTAAACCAAAGGTGATTATATGATTTAGTCACCAAACAGGGCACTTTTGAAAGTGAAAGGGGATGCCATTACAAAAAAACACTAGGACTACTGTATAAATCTGGATGGATTTAAACCCCTCCTTAGGCTAATTTCTGCCATTTCATAACAGGAGCCCTAGCAGACCTTCCCTTAACTTCTTAGATTGGGTTGCCAGTGGGGTGATTTTTGCCCTCCACAGGATGTTAGGTAATGTCTGGAGAGGTTGTCAACTTGTAGGTGGGAGAAGGGATGGGTAGTGCTACTGATACTAGTTGGCCAGGGTGCTGCAAAACATCTTACAGTACATACTAGGTGTATTAGTTTGCTAAGGCTGCCATAACAAAGTACCATAAACTGGGTGGCTTAAACAACAAAAATTTATTTTCTTTTTTTTTTTAAGATTTTATTTATTTTTCTTTAGAGGGGAAGAGGGGAAGGAGAGAGGGAGAGAAGCATCAATGTATAGTTGCCTTTTGTGCATCCCCTGCTGGGAACTGGCCTGCAGGGAACTGACCTGCAACCTAGGCATGTGCCCTGACTGGGAATCGAACCGCGATCGTGTGGTTCGCAGGCCCGCGCTTAATCCAGTGAGCTACACCAGCCAGGGCCTATTTTCTTTTTATTCTCGTTCTGGAGACTAGAAGTCCAAGGTCAGTTTTGTCAGGATTGTTTCAAAGATCCTATCACCAAATGCAGTCACCTTCTGTGGTGCTGGAGGTTAGGGCTTCAACCTAAGAATTTAGAGATGAGGGATACAATTCAGCCTCTAACAATAAGACAGCTCCACCCTGCTGTCCTGCAGAAACTGATCCCATCCTCCACTGTGGGGAGGTTGAGAAACCCTGGTTAGGTGACCTTTTAATGTGTATTTTCACTCTGAATGACTGTGTGCACTAATAAATCTCAGACACTGCCTTCTAGACTTCCCTGTGGGACTGCCGAACTTCAGGGCATTGGCTTTGACTCTTACTCATCTTGTATCTTCAGTGCCTAGTACAGTGTTAAGATCTTGAATAAATGTTAAGTTCCAGGAGTTTCAGTGCCATACATTGGTTCACTGTCATATCCCCAGCATGAAACCTAGTGCCTGGTAGGTGCTCAGTGAATATTTGCTGCATGGATAAATGGTAGTAAATATTTGTAAGTATTTGCTGAATTAATGAATGAATAATGAATATGGAAGCTTCTCTACAGACAAGTATTTGACTTAGGAACCTGCAGCTGTCTCATGATCCTCATTCTTTTTCTTTTTTTAAAGATTGTATTTATTTTTTTAGAGTGACAGGGAAGGAAGGAGAAAGAGAGGGAGAGAAACATTTATCATTTGCCTCTTGCACACCCCCAACCGAAGACCTGGCCCACAGTCCGGGCATGTGCCCTGACCTGGAATTCAACCTGCAACCTTTCAGTTTGTGGGACAATGGCCCAACCCATTCTTTTTCTTCTGCCTTAACTTGGCTACCTCTCCCCCCAGATTTACCCCACTCTTTCTTCCAGTGGTTACAGGATGGGTTGGGGGTTAGGAGGCAGCAGTTGAGATTGTAGAGCAGCTCCCCAAGCTTCACTTTGTGACCGAGTGAAGTTAGCACTGCACTTCATGCACAAAGGGCAGTTGAGTAGATGTGTCTGCTGTCCTTTCCTCCTAGCTGCTGATGCAAGAGACCTGAAAGGAGGCAGGGTATGTGGCCACCTGCCATGTGCTTTGATTCCTTTCAGGTTGCCTGCTCTGTGGTAAACAGAGGTTCTGGCACAGGGCCTTTTAGTCTTGTGTGTCTATGTATGTGTATTATTTTTAGGGGAGGAGGACAGTGCTTTTATCAGATACTCTGAGAGATGTGTGACTTTATTTTTTTAATTTTTTAAAAGATTTTATTTATTTATCCTTGGGGAAGGGAAGGAGAGAGGGAGAGAAACATCAGTGTATGGTTGCCTTTTGTGCGTCCCCTGCTGGGAAGTGGCCTGCAGGGAGAACCGGCCTGCAACCCCGGCATGTGCCCTGACTGGGAATCGGACTGGGAATCGAACCAAGATTGTCTGGTTCGCAGGCCCGTGCTCAGTCCACTGAGCTACACCAGCCAGGAGATGTGTGACTTTAAAGACCAAGAACCATTTCGTTAATACAGTAGTTCTCAAAACGAGCATTGGATATAATCAATCATCTGGAAGGCCTGTTACCTCCAAAGTTTCTGATTCAGGTCTGCGGTGAGGCCTGGAAATTTGTGTTCCAACAAGCTGATGCTGCTGGTCCAGGGGCCACACTCTGAGCACCACCCTACCCTGTCAGCAGATATCCAAGGTTGCCTGGTAGAGGGAAAGAACCTGGAAAGCATTAAAAGAGTTTATGAAAATAGCTGGCATGTGGTGACTTCTCAGTGTTATGGGAGCTAAGTCTTATTTTATTTATTTATTTATTTTTCATTTTAAGAGTATGTTTATTAAAGCTGGCGACAGTGAAACAAGGGAAGGGCTTTAAGGTAAAAGAAGCAGTAGGAGAGAGCAAGTCAGAGAAAAGGAGGCCTTGGAGGTATGTTCAGAGGGTAAGCCCAGGATGACCTGCTGTTGCCCACTGCTCCCCTGGTCGCAAGTATAGGAGAAAGATGACAGAGATACAAGGAATGGGCATGCTCTAGGGAGAGAACAATGTGGGTTCTTTGTTTTGAGGCTTTTTTTCTTTTCTTTGGCCAGCCAGAATCCTAGGGGAGGGTCTTAACAGACTGTTCATTAGCTTTTTAGGTGTGTCCTTCAATACCTTGATTCAACAAAATGTGCATATAGAGGGGTCATGAGTTTTTTTCTGGTTATTTTTATTTTTTTGTTTATAGTGTAAGTTTTTATTGTTTTTTCCCCCATTACCATTTATCTCCCTACACTCTTTTCCACCTCCACCTCACCCCCTGCCATCACAGGGCTGAGTCCCTTTTTTATTATTATTATTTTTTTTATTTTTAGATTTTATTTATTTTTAGAGAGGGGAAGGGAGGGAGAAAGAGAGGGAGAGAAACATCTGCAGGGTGTTGCCTCTCGCCTGCACCCTGACCAGAGAGACTAAATGCGCAACCCAGACATGTGCCCTGCCCAGGAGTTGAACCAGCAAACATTCACTTTGCGGGGCAGTGCCTAACCAACTGAGCCATACTGGTCAGGGTGTAAAGTCCCATGTTAATCCTCTTCAGGTACAGCCCTCATCTGGTGTACTGTTTGTTTGGTGGTTTAATGAAGCTACTACAGAGATAGTGTAACCTAGCAGGATCAGCCCACCCAGTTTTATACTGACATTGTTTTACATTCTTTTTATATGATGGCTTTAGCCATTTTTGAAGTACAGTGTGCAGTGAGTTTGGTTTGTTGGGCTTGGAGGACAACAGGCCCTGAACTTGTGACCTGTTTGCTCCTTCATAGCGATAACCTGGCTGGTTGTTTATTCATAGTTTCCTATTGTTGAACATACTCCCAGCATGATTTTCTTTTCTTTTTTTCTTTTTTAGGAGTACAAAGTTACCCTTTTGTTTCTACTGCCTCTTTCCACACAAGCACCCCTTTGGCCAAAGAGGATTATTACCAGATATTAGGAGTGCCCCGAAATGCCAGCCAGAAAGAGATCAAGAAAGCCTATTACCAGGTCTGTATGAAAGCCAGATTTTAGAGATAAGATTGTAGAACGAATACTGTTGATCTAGTCTGACCCTGATCAGCACAGTGCATATGCCTATACGTACAGGATGCAGGCAGCTGACAGTATGGAATGACATGATAAAGGTGGGCTTTGTCGGACTGTATTTTTCAGGGCATGTTGCTGTACCCATTAATGCTTCAGAAAAGAGGAGTCAGAACCAGAGATTAAAAAAACATTTTTCCTCAGCTGTTTTTGTACCTAATTTTTTTCTGCACTGTCTGAATTAGTAGTCATGCTGGTTTAAGTTTCAGGTAGTTATTCTTTGCATTCAGATGAAAGTTTATGGACTTAGAATTATGTCTTCACTTAGCTTGTGAAGTGTGAAGTTCTCGTTATCATATCCCAGAATGTAGAAGGGCTAGTTATCTAGACCAATGGTTTCCAGATTTTTGCTCTGATCAACAAAATTAAAATTAAAATAAAAAATGGGGGCACCAGTATAGGATTGCCAGCTTTTTGTATTTTGCCTAATACAAGTGTTAAAAATAACAAGTACAATCTATTAATGTTATTGGTAAAAGAAATAGCATCTAAACACTATAAAAATAGGAAAGCCATAGTATCAGGATAAAGGAGGTCTTTAAATTAAGTATGAATTAAATACATTAATTACCTTTATGAAAAATTTACTATCAGATTTTTGAATTAAAAAATATTTTTTTTGTAGATGAGCAAAAACTTTGTCCAAGGCCAATATTTGTGAATCAAGTACTGATCAAGACCAGACCTAACAGCTTATGCCTTAGGCATCTACTCTTTACCTCTTGCTTTTTTCAAAAAGTGTACAGTTCACTGGTTTTTAGTGTATTTAGAGTTGCAGAATTATCATCAGAATCAATTTCAGAACATTTCAACAACTCAGAAAGACACCCCGTACCACGAACACTTAGACCCCATTCTCTCTTTGCCCTTGCAGTTGTGAACCTGCTTTCTGTCTCTATGGATCTATCTATTCCAGATACCTCATGGCAGTAAATTCACACAACTGAGGGCCTTTAGTGACTGTCTTCTTTCACTTCAGCATGTTTTCAAGGTTCATCCACGTTGTAGAATGAATCAGTAGTTCATTTCTTTTAATGGCCATAATATTGCATTGCATGGATATGCTACATTTTATTTAGCCATTTACGAATTGATGAATATTTGGTTTCGTTGTCCCCACTTTTTTCTGTTTTAAGTAGAGCTGCTGTGAACATCCATGTTAAGTTTTGTGTAGACATGTTTTCAGTTCTCTTAGGTATGTATGTGCCCATAGGAGTAGAATTGTTGGGTCAAATGATAACTCTGTGTTTAACCTCTTGAGGAACTGCTAGATTGTTTTCCAAAGCAGCTGCACCATTTTACATTTCCACCAGCAGTGTATGAGGCTTCCAGTTTCTCCATATCCTGGCCAACACTGTTAGGCCTTTTTGATTCTAGCCACCCCAGTGGGTGTGAAGTGGTGTCCCAGTATGTGTTGTTGGGGTTTTTAAAAAAGATTTTATTTATATATTATAGAGAGACGGGAAGAGAGTGAGAAAAAGAGGGAGAGGAACATCATAATATGTGGTCACCTCTTGTGTGCCCCCCACTGGCGGCCTTGCGTGCAACCCAGGCATGTACCCTGACTGGGAATCAAACTGACAACCCTTTGGTTTGCAGCTTGTCACTCAATCCACTGAGTCACGACAGCCAGAGCTCTCAGTATGGTTTTTGATTTGCTTTTCCCTTGTGTAATGGTGTTGCACATCTTTTCATGTATTTGTCAGCCATTTGTCGTAAATGTATTCAGATCCTGCCCTGGCTGGTGTAGCTCAGTACATTGAGCTCGGGCCTGCGAACCAGAGTATCGCGGTTTGATTTCCAGTCAGGGCACATGCCTGGGTTGCAGGCCAGTTCCCAGCAGGGGACACACGAGAGGCAACCATACATATTTCTCTCCCTCTCTCCTTCCCTTCCCCTCTAAAAGATAAGTAAATTTAAAAATAAATAAATAAATGTATTCAGATCCTTTGCCCATTTTTTAAAATCTTTTTATCACTGGGTTGTAATGGAATGAACAAAGGCATGGGGGAATAAAGCAGGGATCCTGACTTGAAGAGAGTGAATAGCATGTCCCTTTTGAAAAGGTGGAGGCTGCAGCCAAATTACTGGGGCATTTGAGGCCCTCAGCAAGTGATAGAGAATTACAAGGTGTGTCCAGAAGGTATCCAGCCACGTAATAAGAAAAATAGAGACATTTATTGAAGAAGATACAAGATACAAGAAACATTGTACATAGAACAGGGATGCCTTAGTCCCCTTCAAAGTAGGCACCTTGGGACCTCACACAGTTCTCCCAGTCACCATCAGCTGCCCATCATATTTTGTGAATCTCATTGATGATCTGAAATGTCTTTCCTTTCAAAGGTGATTTTAGTTGTGGGAAAAGCCAGAAGTTGCAGGGCACCAAATCTGGGCTATAGGGTGACCGAGTCACCTGGGTGATTTGATGTTTCGCCAGAAAAACTCTGCACAAGACATGATGCATGAATGGGTGTGTTGTAGTGATTAAGCTGCCAATTACCAGTTGTCCATAGCTTCGGCCTTCTGAGTTATCCAAATAGTTTCTGCAAAGGACTGTTCTAGCTTAATGCAAAATTTGATGCAGATTTGTTGTTCTACTCCACACGTGGCAAACATAAGGTCCACGGGCCGAATCCATCCCTCCACCTTGTTTTATCTGGCCCAGCACCTTGTTTCTACCCGGCGGCAGCACCGAGCTCTTGCTTAACTGTTAAGGAGTAGTTACGTTTATATAGTCCTAAAATAACATGCTGCCCTTTGAAAGCAACTGCAAGGCTGATGTAGACCCCGGTGAAGATGAGTTTGACACCCCTGCTCTACTGACTCAGTCATCTTGAATGTGAGGGCCACACAATACACAAGCTCACTCACAGCATCTACTATCCCCACTGACTAGTACAGGGAAGTTGTCATTGTTCACACATGCACATTTCAGTCCACTGTCCTTGGCTGCCAGGTTACATGGATGTTGCACAACCATTCTTGCTGTATTAACAATGGTTGGACTTTTTTCAGACAGACCTTGTAATTTAAAAGAAAATAGGGCCCTGGGTGGTATGGCTCAGTGGATTGAGTGCTGACCTGCAAACCAAAAGGTCACTGGTTTGATTCTCATCAGGGTACATGCCTGGGTTGCGGGCCAGGTCCCCAGTAGGGGATGTGTGAGAGGTAACCACACATTGATGTTTCTCTCCCTCTCTTTCTCCCTCTCTAATAATAAGTAAATTAAATATTTTTAAAAAATTAAAGAATGTAGGGGACCATTCAAGCTTTTGGATGCAAAAACAAAAAGATCAAGTAAAGCTGTGTAGTTTAAACTAGAAATTTTTTAAGTTGCCTTAATGGAACAATTACTGGAATCAGATCTTGATGAAGCTTTGTGTGTGTTACATCATATAATTCTCATGGCAAGAGGCTTGGGAAGGTTATGATACACATCCTAAGCTACACAGCTATTTTGTAGCACATAAGACTAAATTATAGGTCTTTCAGACTGTAAAAGGCTTCTTTTCTCCATGTGCTAATCTCATGTTTCAGCATATCTTGTCTTGGAATTTGGGACCAGCCAGTAGACAAACATAGCTTGTCTTGTCATTGGAACCAGCCTTGCCTTGTAGCCCACTGTGATCTACTGGCCATGCTTGAGATGACTGCCCCTGCTGCCTCCTCCCACCCCTCCCGCCTTCAGGGCTTCGCTCACAGGCTCTGGTGTGAGGACCAGCATCTCCAGAAGTAAATTAAACAGCCAACTGCTGGCAGTGCCAGAGCCAAAGGGCCTGTCAAGTCACTGGCAGCTTTAGGATTCTGTTTCTGTGCACCTCCTTCTCCTCACATAAAGAACCTGTGGTAACTCACATTGGGAAGGCTCAGGAACTGCAGCAAACAGTAGTGAACACCTACAGAGCACACGGTATTTCGCAGCACAGCCGGAAGGTGGCCTTTGTTTTAGGGCTGCTCAGCACACCTGTGTGCTCTGGACAGCCAAGTGAGATTTACTTTTGTTGTTTTTTGGGTTTTTTTAAAGATTTTATTTATCTTTTAGAGGGGAAGGAGAGAGGGAGAGAAACATCAATGTATGGTTGCCTTTTGTGTGTCCCCTGTTGGGAACTGGCCTGCAGGGAACTGGCCTGCAACCCAGGCATGTGCCCTGACTGGGAATCAAACCGCGATCCTCTGGTTCGTGGACCTGCGCTCAGTCCACTGAGCTACACCAGCCAGGGCTACTTTTGTTTTTAATATTAAAATCTGTTTTGAATGGTAATATATTTTCCTTGTTCAGAATTCAAAAAATACAAGTTAACTTCATTGTACAAAAAGTACAATGAAAAGTCTTCTTCCTTCCCATTCATTTATATCTCTCCTGTAGCAGTCAGTGTTACCAGTTTATTGTATGTTCTTCCAAAAATAATTTAAATCTGTCCAGTTATTTTCTTCTTTTTCTACATAGTACTGGGTACGCTATTTTGCATCTTTCACAAAGGTGCCCACGTTCTAAAAAATTACTTGTTTTTTTTGGTAGAGATTTGTTCTGGTTGAAAAATATGTACATACCTCAGATTTGAAGAGATGGTTTATTTCTAATGTCTTAAACCTTGTTTTAAGAATTTCCATTGTTTGTAAAGTCTTAGCTGCTATTAAGGAGATGAAATTGTGACTGGTATTTGGGGTTCAGTTTTAGTAGTCCTTTTGTGTTCATAGTAATTTACCATTTCCTCCCATAGCTTGCCAAGAAATATCACCCAGACACAAATAAGGATGATCCCAGAGCCAAGGAGAAGTTCTCCCAGCTGGCAGAAGCCTATGAGGTAACATGACCCTCTGTTGTGTGCACTTGCTGTCATTCAGCTGCATGCACGTCTAGGAGCAAGCTGCACAGGCGACCTGATGTGTCATGAAGTCCAGTGTGAAGGCTGTGTTCCTACACCAGATCCCTTTGTCGAAGAAAAGATTCCCAGGTTTCACACTAGACCTTACTTCTTGGAAACTCAATGAAAAACAATGTTCGGTCTTTATTAACAGCTTGGACTTGTAGCCAGGTCTGGGAACACGTTGTTGGCTTAATGCACACCTATTTGATCACCCCCTCCTACTTAGGGTATTGCTGTCTGGTGGGGATGGTGGGTCCCGTAAAAGTAGAAGGCCAGCACTACCCTGGAGAAATTTAAAATGTAATCAGAGGGAAGAAACATACATGAAACAGCTACTGAACAGTTGGACCTTCTTCCCAGACTTTGACTATTCCAAAGGGGTTCAGGAGATACAGGGTATCATATATCTTGTCTGTGTGGGTACATTCCCCCAACACCACTTGACAGTGACAGACTTTGTATCTCTTTATTCTTAAGTATTTCTTTATTTTCTAAGAACAAGAACATTCTTTCTCATAGCTACAATACGGATGTCAAAATCAGAACATTAATGTTGATACATTCCCCTTATTTATATTTGGTGTCTGTGTCCCTGGGCCTTGGGAGACCCGTGAGCACCTGACTGCTGTGCCTTTTGTGGAAGGTGCTGAGTGATGAAGTGAAGAGGAAGCAGTATGACACCTATGGCTCTGCCGGTTTTGATCCTGGGGCTGGTGGCTCTGGGCAGAGCTACTGGAAAGGAGGCCCCACTGTTGACCCAGAGGAGCTCTTCAGGAAGATCTTTGGGGAATTCTCGTCATCTTCTTTTGGAGATTTCCAGAGTGTATTCAGTCAGCCTCAGGAGGTAAGCTTATTTTGAAGAACCATTCAAATTTTAGCCGCTAAACATGATGCAAACAGATTTTATCAATTTCTGTTTCTCAAAGAAAAAGGCAAAATAGCTTAAGTGGAATGATCTGGTGGTAGCCATTTTGGTAAGAAATCAACCCAAAATTTGGAAAATCATATAGGTAATGTATATACATCCATTTTGACTCGAGTCTTACAGTTGCTTAGCCAGGCAAAACATAAGGCTTTCAGAGCCCATTATTAGGGTGTATTTTATCTAGAGCCACTACATTATTCCAGGAGAGCTCAATCTAGTTGGGAGACATCCCAATCCTACTTTTTCTATATTTATGTCCTAATAAGATCTTAACCAGATTTGAAGAGAGAGGAATAATATTCGTGATTTGTTATGTTTGTGGATTATTTGAGCTGTTCGTAAGGACTGTATACAAGTATTATCTGTGAATTGTTTGTTGAAATATACATTTTTACTTAAATATTACTCTCAAAAATCCTAAGGAGTAGCGCATAAACAGTTAAGAGAATCCCATCTATTCTTACTTGGCAGAGTAGAGGAAAGTAAAACGGTTAAAAAGTAAAGTAAGTAGTGAGGGAGGAGATGAATAGGCTGCAGAGAGGATTTTTTAGGGCAGTCAGAATACTCTCTGATTTCATGATGATGTATACATGTCATGCATTTGTGTAGACTCATAAAATGTGCAATACCAAGAGTGAACCCTAATGTAAACCATTGGCTTTGGGTGATTATGGTGTGTCACTGTTGGTTTATCCTCAGAAAATGTACCAGTCTGGTGAGTGATGATGATAGGAGAGTCTGTACATGGGTGGGCGCAGGAGATATGTGGGAAATTTCTGTACCTCCCTCTCAGTTTTGTTGTGAACCAGAACTGCTCTAAAAAATAAAATCTTTAAAGTAACTGTAAACTGCTAGCTAGTCCCTCCCCTGCTTTAAGAAAGATAACAGGCCATCCCTTGATTTCTTCAGTACATCATGGATTTGACATTCAATCAAGCTGCCAAGGGTGTCAACAAGGAGTTCACAGTGAACATCACTGACACCTGTGAGCGCTGTGACGGCAAAGGGAATGAGCCTGGCACCAAGGTGCAGCACTGCCACTACTGCGGCGGCTCCGGCATGGTAAGAGCCGGTCAGGGCCACCCCTCTGCCACCTCCCTTCCTGCTCTCCTGGGGGACTCCCACCTCGTGCCCACTCATGCTTCCCCCTGCCATCCCTTATTTCTGTGCTTCTGTGAATATTTTTTAAGCAGTACCGAGGGCTTTGGGAATTCATAACTAGGTGGGTCTATTTTATCTAGAACATTCTGTATTTTTCCAGAAGTTGTCTTGGTCAACAATACAGACAGAGCAAGGAAACTTAGCTGCCTTCTCTAAAGATACACTTTGGGATATTTTGGTAATTATAAGCCAACTAGAGGTTGTTGGGAGACACTTAGTTTGAAGTGTAACCATTTTTCCTTTTGTTAACTTGTTGAATTAATTCAAAGTTATACAACAGTATAAAGACTCACTCCCTTAGTCCTTTACCCATGTTCATCAATTAACATTTTGTTCTATTTGCTTTGTCATTTAAAAACATTTTTAATAGTTCATTTTTATTGTATTTTTTCCATTACCATTTATCCCCCCTTATACCCTCTTCTGCTTTGTCGTTTTTGGTGTGCTCAGTCTCTCTCCCTTCCCCTCCCTGTGTATGTCTTCTGTGTGTATGCGCTGCACACACACACATTTCCCCAACCATCTGAGGTACTCTCAGATGCAAACATTCTATTTCTTTTTTTTTTTTTTAAGATTTTATTTATTTATCTTTGGGGAAGGGAAGGAGAGAGGGAGAGAAACATCAATGTATGGTTGCCTTTCTTGCATCCCCTGCTGGGAAGTGGCCTGCAGGGAACTGGCCTGCAACCCAGGCATGTGCCCTGACTGGGAATCAAACCGCGATTGTCTGGTTCGCAGGCCCGCGCTCAATCCACTGAGCTATACCAGCCAGGTCAACATTCTATTTCTTTATTCCTTTCTACTTCAGTGTGTGTTTTCTAAGCACAAAAACATTATTTTACATAACCACAGTATAGTTGTTAAAATCAAGAAATTTAATGTTGATACAATACTATTATCTCTACTTAAATTTACTCAGTTGTCCTTACAATGTTCTTTTTTTCCCTGGTCCAGAATCCAAACTGGGATCTTGTGTAGCATATGCTTGTCTTTCGTCTCCTTTAATCTGGAACAGTTCTGCAGCCTTTCTTTTTCTTTTATGTCCTTGACATTTTTTTAGGATTACAAGCTAGCTGTTTAGTACAGTTTTCCTCATTTTGGGTTCATACCTCAGAGGTATAGTGCCCTTTCCAGAGGATCATGTCAAGAGTCATGAAGTATAAGTTTGCCCATTAATGATGATCTTACATTTGATCATAAGCAGTTAGTTACAGTAGCGTCTACCTGCATTCCTCTGAGAGGGGGTGCTCTTGGAGAGGATGGGGATTCTGTAGCTACAGTTCTGTGAGCCCAGTTGCTGTTAGATATTTAGATATCTTTTATTGATTGTTCCCAGTTTCCTCTCATTTCTAAGGTCCTTTCTGCAAGGCCTTGAATTGCTATGAATTTTTTCCTAACATTTCTGAAGGGAACACTGAGGTAAGATAGTAAAGCTGAAGTGTAGTTCTCTCAAAATGCAATGTTTAAGACTGGGAAAAACATTTGCAACTCATTTGCTGAAGGATTGGTATTCCTAATATGTAAAGGGCTCCTTCAGAATAATGAGAAAAAAACCCAACAGCTCATGAGAAAAACTGGTCAAGATGAACAGAAGAGGAAATGCAAGTGGCCAATAAGCATTGCTCACTAGCAATCAGGAAAACGTTTATATTGTGCACATTGTGGTCCCAAAGCCTTGGCAGTCCAAATTTACCTGTGTACTTAGGGTTCCATTTTTTTCCTCCTTTTTATCAGGAAACTATAAATACAGGCCCTTTTGTGATGCGTTCCACGTGTCGGAGATGCAGCGGTCGAGGCACCATCATCACAGCTCCTTGTGTGGTGTGCAGAGGAACAGGACAAGCCAAGCAGAAGAAGAAAGTGGTTATCCCTGTGCCAGCAGGTGGGTTCTGGGCTCCTCCTCACACAGAGGACTGAGAGCTGAGACATTGTTTCCTTGATTTATCCAAAGCCAGTGTTAAGGCCCTGGAGCCCCAGACTGGAGGAGGGACTAGACTCTCCTTGTAAGTTTCTCTTTGCCTAGTTATCCTTAAAATCTGCACTTACATATCACTTTGAAGAGAAGGGATCTGACATGTGCACTCTTTCCTATGTATGGTGAAGGAGCACCCTCATCATCTCTGTCTTTAGTTCACCAGCATTGTTCCCACTTCCAGCCCAGTCTGCACCCTGCCACCTCCTCCCTCCTCCTCAATGCCAGGGAAGCCAGTGACTGCTCTCTCCAACTGGCTTTTGTTCCCAGGGTGCTCTTTCCACAGTCTGATCATATCACTCACCCTGTGAAGGACCAGCAGTGACTCTCAGGGGCCAAGAAAACTCCTCCCCTCTGGGCTCCTGCTTGCCTCATCGGCCTCCACTCTCATTAGCATTCCCCTTGTTGCCTGCCCTGCAGCCTCATGACTTTTCTTTTTTTCTTTTTTTAAAATTTTTTTATTGATTATGCTGTTACACTTGTTCTATTCCCCCTTTCATTCCCCTCCACCCTACCCCCCATCCCCACCATTACCCCCCTTTAGTTTATGACCACGTGTCTCAAGTCCTTTAGATTCTATATTTCCCATGCTATTCTTGCCCCCCTATCTATTTTCTATCTACTGTCTATGCTACTTATTTTCTGTACCTTCTCCCCCCTTCTCCTCCTCCCACTCCCCTGTTGCTAACCCTCCTTGAGATCTTCATTTCTATGTTTCCACTCCTGATCTAGCTGTCCTTTTAGTTTGCTTTCGTTTTAGGTGTGGTTGTTAATAACTGTGAGTTTGTTGTCCTTTCACTGTTCATGTTTCTTTAACTTCTTTTTCTTAGAAGTCCCTTTAACATTTCATATGTAAAGTCCTTTTAACATTTCATATAATAAGGGCTTGGTGATGATGAACTCCTGAATTTCACCTTATCTGAGAAGCACCTTATCTGTCCTTCCATTCTAAATGAAAGTTTTGCTGGATAGAGCAATCTTGGTTGTAGGTCTTTGGATTTCATGACTTGGAATACCTCTTTCCAGCCCCTTCTTGCCTGTAAGGTCTCTTTTGAGAAATCTGCTGACAGTCTGATGGGAACTCCTTTGTAGGTGACTGTCCCCTTAGCTCTTGCTGCTTCTAGGATTCTCTCCTTCATTTTAATCTTGGCTAATGTAATGATGATGTGCCTTGGTGTGTTCCTTCTTGGGTCCAACTTCTTTGGTACTCTCTGAGCTTCCTGGATTTCCTGGAGGTCTATTTCCTTTGCCAGATTGGGGAAGTTCTCCTTTATTATTTGTTCAAATAAGTTTTCCACTGGTGGCTGTGCCTTTCCCCCTTCTGGTACCCCTATAATTCGGATGTTGGAATGTTTAAAGATGTCCTGGAGGTTCCTAAGACTCTCCTCATTTCTTTGAATTCTTGCTTCTTGACTCTTTTCTGTTTGGCCATTATTTGCTTTCTTCTGGTCCACTCCATTGACTTGAGTCCCAGTTTCCTTTTCATTGCTATTGGTGTCCTGTGCAATTCCATTCATTTCAATTAGTTTCGCCTTCATATATTTGTCTAATTTGTCGGTATAATCAACCAGTTCTGTGAGGATCCTGATGACCAGTGTTTTAAACTGTGCATCTGAGAGTTTTGCTATTTCTTCATCGCTTAGATCTATGGGCTCTGGGGCTTTGAGATCTTCTTGCGACATTTTTGGTCTGTTCGAGCCCTTTAAGTGTGAGAAGCGGCGCCTTGGACTCCCAGGTCGCTGGGTTGTGACGCTGTATGTGGGGGCGTGGTCAGAGCGGGGAAATGGCGGCCCCCTCTGCTGTTTCGAGACGCTGGGTGAGGATCAGCGCCTTAGGTGGTTCACCAGGGCAGGGCCACTCAGAGTCGCTGGGTTATGACGCTGTATGTGGAGGTGGGGTGAGAGCAGGGAAATGGCGGCGCCCTCCACTGCCGCTTGCCTCGGAGACCCTCCAGGCCCCGGTCCAACCGCCCACTCCCTCGCCTGTCCGCCCGCGCACAAATGCGAGACCGCAGTCAACATGCAGCACCGCTCCTCCGCTGTCTCCCCCACAGTCGCTCACCTGGTCGCTCGCTCGGTCGCTCAGTCGATCACTAGGTCCAACCCTGCGCCTGGATTCCGTGTGTCTGGATTCCGCGCCTGAGTCCGTCTGACCGAGTTTTCCTGTGCAACCCCACTTCACCAGCCGTTGGTTTCGCCTCTTACCGGTCAGGCTGAAGAATTTGTTGTTAACAGACTTCCAAAAAGTTCAATTTTCCGTGTTCTGGCTGTGTTTTCTATTGCTAATATTTAGTTGTCTCTAAACTTGGTTGTGTGAGAAGGCACGCCACATCCACCTATGCCTCCATCTTGGCAGAAGTCTCCTCATGACTTTTCTATAGCTCCTTGAATGGGACAGAATGCCTCCTAGAACAGAGCCTTTTCATATGCTGTTTCCTGTGTCTGAAACTTGCTTTCCACCATCTCCTGAGCAGTTAACTGTTTTTATGGGCTTCCTCAGGGAAGCCATCTGGAACCCTTTCTGTTCCTCAGATGTACCATAAGTCTGGAGTTGTGACTTTTTCCTTCTGAGAACATGGCTCTGTCTGTAATAACATTATTAGTGTTGTTATTTGATTAATATTTGTCCCTGCTACTGGACTGGACACTCCCTGAGATGCTATTCGGACCTGGCAAGAGGTGGGTGTTCAGCAGACTTGAATTAATTAATAGAAGGTGCTCTTGTTTGGTTATTGTGTGGTTCACCTTTGAAAAGTTACACTTGTTGCCATATTGGATAACTAACTGTGTTGTTCCTCACTAATGAGAAACAGAAATGAGTAAGGATCTAGAGTAGAAAATGCCTTGGGAGATCTCCAAATGATCATTTTCTTTTGAACTTTTGTTCTCACTCACAGGAATTGAGGATGGACAGACTGTGAGGATGCCTGTAGGAAAAAGAGAAATTTTCATCACGTTCAGGGTAGGTGCTCTGCTTGCACAGCCTCTGTTGGGGCCTTGCTGTCTTGGAGAATGTGCAGCCGAGGCTTCTCGTGGAGAGAGGGGGAAGCTTCTTGGGGCACATGCTGCTGTCCACATTTCCAAGGGGGACAGTGGCCACCTTGGTGGAATTATTAAGTATGTCACCATCAAGCTTTTGTGTCGTGTGGAGAGAACAGCATTGCTTCAAGATATTTACAAGTTGGAAACAAAAAAAAACACATAAAAATACAGAAAACATTGCCCTGTGTTTTTATTTACATATTAAATTGGTGCCGACAGTAGAGTTTTACCTACTCTATACCAGGGGAAACCTGGTTTTCTAAGATAAGGGAAACCTTAAAGGAGATAACAGCTTCTACTGCAATTCTACTAGATACATACCTGAGAAAAGCCCACACAGGTACAACAGGCAGAGGCACAAGATGTGTGTGACAACCTCGTTCATAGTAGCAAGACACTGATAACAACCTGTCCATGGACACAGAATGGCAGGGTGAGCCGCACTGTGGTCACAGAGGACCACAGGGCAGTCAGAAGGAAGAAACTGGACCACATGTGTAACCAGACTTGTCAGTCACAAAGGAGGGAAAGAAGGGTTGCAAGAGAGATTCAAGGAAGATCATGTATATAAACTTTTAAATCACATGAGATGATGTTATATATATTACTTAAGGACATGGAAATATGTAGTAGAAGTTAGCCCTGGCTGATATAGCTCAGTGGATTGAGTGTGGGCCTGCAAACCACACAATCGCAGTTTGATTCCCAGTCAGGGCACATGCCTGAGTTACAGGCCAGTTCCCAGCAAGGGACTCATGAGAGGCAACCATACATTGATATTTCTCTCCTTCTCTCCTTCCCTTCCCCTCTAAAGATAAATAAATAAAATCTTAAAAAAAAAAGAAGTCTAAAAATCTCTAAAAAAAAATGTAGTAGAAGTTAAAAAATGCTTATAGGAATAATAAGTACTAGATTCAGCCACATAGTTAACTCTGAGGGGGTGAGAAAGAAGCAAGGAGACTTCACCTGGATTCATAATGTCTCATTTGTAGCATAATTGTAGTTTATGTACATGCAAAATATCATAATTTAAAAAAGACAAAAATTTAAGGATGAACCTTTAAACTGAGAAAGACAAAGATAGCAAGCTGGAAGCCAATTGATGAGACTAGTTTGGTGGAGAATTTAGATTCTGTCCCTAACTAATGATAGAGAAGAAAAAATAAATCATTGGAAGACAAAGAATGTCTTTGAGATACAGCAAACAGTGCTTATTTTAAAAAATCAAAATAATTCTAGTGTTGTCAACCTGTCTTAAAGGTAGTTCGTGCCAAATAACCATTTGGAAAGCCATTCTGCTTTTGTAGATATATTAATCTGTGTTCTAGTAAAATAATATTTTTTTTAATGTTGAAGATGCCAGTTTTACTTTACTTTTGTTCAGAATTGAATGGCTGGATGTGAACCTGGGAAATCTAGGCACTCTTGCATTGCAGTATAGAAATGAATCTGATGTGTAACCTGGCATAGTGTTTCAATTGGTGAAAGTATACTCTCTCCCTCAGTGCTGTGTTCTAAGCATAGAAGCAGGGTAACGTGTGTCAGACGCTAAGCTCGGGCTGCTGAGATGCGGGGCTGATGTCCAGTCTCCAGAAGGACCTCTCTGTGCATAATGCCCATCTCTTATGTTTGGTCCTAGGTACAGAAAAGCCCTGTCTTCCGGAGGGATGGCGCAGACATCCACTCTGACCTCTTTATTTCTGTAGCTCAGGCTATTCTTGGGGGGACAGCCAGAGCCCAGGGCCTGTATGAGACAATCAATGTGACGGTAAGAGGGCAAGATTATCTTTGCCACCTTCCTACTTAATTGCTTTTTTTTTTCCTGTAATGGAAAATGGCTTATAAATGGCTAGAACGTGTAAACAGCCAGCATGTCAGGGATTTGGGGGAAATGATAGTTAGGGGGGGGCAGGAGGAATATCTGGCCATTCCTTGGGGTTTAAGTCACCAGGTGTGGGCCTTGAGTGTGTCATCACGAGGAACAACAATTCCTGAGTTGCATCTCCTCTTTTGCTGGGGATGCAACCTCAGCAACATGCTCCTGTGCTGGCTTTGCTACTTTTCAGGTCTGGCTCTCTCCACTTTGGCTTACCTCGTCAAACCACCTGTCCCTAAATCCTCATTACAGGCTCTGCTCAGGGTGAACCCCAGCTTAGCCAGTTTCCAAGTGATTGTTGGTGGGTTCTGTCTAGAAATCAGAACGGGCAACTGGAAACCAAGGAAAACCACAGGTTTTCTTTCCTCATAGATCCCCCCTGGGATCCAGACAGACCAGAAGATTCGGATGAGTGGGAAAGGCATTCCCCGGATTAACAGTTATGGCTATGGAGATCACTACATTCACGTCAAGATAAGAATTCCAAAGTAAGCGCCCACTTAGCCATGGCAAGGCCTGCTGGATCCTTTCGCACTTTCACCATTGAGCAGGGGCCAGTTGAGGGCTTTTCACCCTGCCTGCTGACCTAAGTGTGGCAGGATGGTGGTTTAGCATCACCAGACCACCTGGTCCCATTGTGGCTCTGCCGCTGGAAGTGCTGAGGCTCAGTCAGGTTACTTCTTTACAGAAGCTTTAAGGGTGTGGCTCTGAGGGTCAGATTGTGCACTCTGCCTGGGTCAGGGCTCCTACATTTCCCACACTGACCTAGGCCTTATCATTTAAAGAGCTGCCCAAAGGAAACACTTGACACTGACTGTGCTTGATCCACAGGAGACTGACAAGTCGGCAACACAGCCTGATGCTGAGCTACGCTGAGGATGAGACTGATGTGGAGGGGACAGTGAATGGTGTCACCAGTACAAGCACTGGTAAGGTGGCATGGTGGCACATGGGCATCCTCTGTCCCTTGGTAGCTTGTTGGGGTTTTCACTTGAGAAACTCCATGGAGCCTTCAAAGAGCACAGTAGAAAGAGGGGAGCTGAGGGCTCAGAACAGGCAAGTGGAAAGTGTAGCTGTGCTCCGGAGCATAGCTGCTTCTCCTTCTTCTGTGTTAGAGAGTGCTAGATTGCTTCCTGCTGGATAGCAGCCCTGTGTGTCAGAGAGCTACTCTTTTGAGTTCTATCCTTGGTTCTGCCACTTGCTTAGGCACATCATTGCATGAGAGTTCCTTGTAACAGCTTAAGAAAATGGATTGGAAGGCTTTATGTGTTCCTGACCCAGGACACTTCAGCAAGATTTCAGAGTGTCTTGTAAATAACATCTTTTACAGCAATCAAAAACCTGTGGTCACATGACTTTGAATCTGATTATTCCCAGCAGGTCTAATTTTGAATTCCTCTGGCAACGAGCAGGTGCCTTATTTACCCTGATCTCAAATGTCATGCTCTATCTACTGGGTATAGTAAAATATTAGTCGTACTCAATACGAAAATGCTTGCAGGCAGAAGCTTTGATGGCAGGGAACCTCAGCGACAGCCTTCTTCCCTTGGGAGGGAGTTGGTCTGCTGTGGAGATGCAGATTCCCTGCTGGATGGCTGCCGGGTCAGGACAGGCGGTACTGAGAGTGGAATTGGCTTCAGCTTCAACATGTTTCCTTGTTGTTACATCATTTTGTTTTTGTCTGGGTCCTAGTTGTTCTTGTGTTTTCAGAACTTGAATAGTATCAGGTTACTATACGCTCATTCAGAGCAGGTGATCAGAGCAGGGGTGGATTTCCCAGTGAAGTGGAAGGCTTGGTCTTGGATTCTCACACCCCATCCCACCCAGCAGGGAGGGGTGGTGCAAAAGCAGCAGCCTTTGCATTGACTTTTCTGAACTTCTGTTGAGTTTAGGGGACCAAGTCTTCTGTGAAAAAATAGCCATGCCCTGGCCAGGTGGCTCAGTTGGTTGGAGTCTCATCCTGTTCACCAAAAGATTGTGGGTTCTGTTCCCAGTCAGGGCACATAGCAAGTTTGCAGATTTGATTCCCAATTGGGGTATGTGTGTTGTGACTGTTCAAGGCTGGACAGGTTCACGTAATTTGGGCAGATGGAAGAATATTCACAGAGCCTTTGGGATGTCTGATATGCCTTTATTCGAGGGTGGATGAGCCACACATGCTACAAGCTGTGTGTACCCCTGCATGTCCCTGTGTGGCACACTGTATGTCATCTGTCCCCTTCCATGGCACATGCTGTACCCAGCGGGGAATCCCTACCTGCTTAAGTACTTTAGCAAAGCTGGGGAAAAGCCAAAAATTTTATAACATAGCATGATTCTGTGCATGTGAGCCCATTTCATGTTATGGAAACCATTTGTCAGGCCCAGTTTCAAGGCTTTGAGAACTCTACTTATCAGGCCTATTCAGGGTTATGTTTTCTGTTGCTAATATTTTGTTGTCTCTAAACTTGGTTGTGTGAGAAAGCATGGCATCTCCACCTATGCCTCCATCTTGGCGGGAGTCCCTATTCAGGGTTATGGGAAAACTGCTTCCTTTAGTTACCCAGACACCTGGGTGAGGAAGCCAAACTGCCTCCATTTACCCTACATTATGTATAGGAGGCACCAACTGATGTTTCTCTCTCTCTCTTTCTCTGTCTAAAATCAATAAACATGTCCTTGGGTGAAGAATGAAAAAAAAAATAGCCACCACAAATTTTGTCTATAGCCTGACCAAGCATGGATTAGGTACTTATATTAAATGGTTTGGTACATATACTTTTTCTTATTTTCCTGTTATATCCTTGAACAAAAAAAGAAGTGGAAATAGTGGGAATAGTTATTCCATGTAACTCTAATGTTCACTTCTAGCTTCTCCTTCCTGAATCCCACATGTAGCATGTGAGATTCGTTCTGCAGACAGCTCCCAGCTGTCCTCCTCCCACCCACACACAACTTGGGGTTCTCCGCAGCTGAGCCCTGTGCAAAGATGTGGGCCTGGTTCGCTATATTAAAATGTTGGTTATTAGTATTCACCAGTTTTATTTTTTAAACCCCCTTCTGATAGCTTAAATTGAGAGTTGATCATATAGGCAGCTTCTGAGTGTCCTTAGAACCCTTATTATTTTTATGGTTTTTTATCCTGATAGCTAATTCCCTCTTCCCTCATTTAGCCAGGTTTCATTGGGAGCTTCCTGTGTGCCTGATTCTTTTCCAGTTCTTCCTTTAATTTTGTTTTCTCTTCCTTCTCATCCCTTACCCATTCATCACTTTCTCCCCCAGTGAGAGAAAGAGAACAAGTACCTCTTTATTGCCTGTGCACCGTAAATCTTGATAGCACTAGCTTCCCCTCCAAAATGCCACAGAAAACACAGCATGCTTGAAACTCTCACTAGGTTACAGATCACAATTACTTCTTAGTGGTTTTCACACTTAAGACGAACATACATTTCAAAATGTGACCTCTCAGCCCCCCTCCCTCACATGCACACATGCGCACACACACACACACAGTGGCAATGTTGTTCAGCTTGTCGGGCTTAGCTGGTTCATGTCAGGTACCACACCATGAGGAACATGACCGCACCAGGTGAGAAGCATCTCACCGATCGTAAAGTGCTTGTCCTGGAAAGCCTGCTTCTCAATGAGCTGCATCACTATGTTGGACAAGCCCAGGATATTGGCAATATCAGGGATCCTCTTATGAATTCTCTACAAGGTCATTCTCTGGGCCCTCAGACCCTCCGGATTTCTGCTCTCCCCCCTGGTAAGGTCATCCATGCCATGGTGAATTTTCTGGGGGGGGAGTTAAACTGCGGTAATTCATCCATTGGTATGGTGGTATTAGAGCTGTTGATAGTGAAGGTGCAAGACAGAAACTTCTCTCACTGCCTCTCCTGCTGCTCTCGTGTGTATTGCTGATGCTGGAAGTTTCCAAGAGCAGTCTGCAGGTGCTGGACATCATACTTTAATTAGTGAACATGGAGTTTGGCATTCTGTCTTTAGTTAGGGGGCTCCTTGCTGCACAAAATTTCCAGATGTTCTAGATTGCTGCATATCTGGTCTATACTTGCTTGGATTTCATTTTATATTGCTGCACCAAATAAAAAAGAATATTTGAGTGCACCGACTGCTTGTCTGCTATCTTCAGGCGTCTTGTGTGAGACTGGATCTTGTGGACCTGCTTGTGTGTTTGCTGGTACAACTGTTCCATGTCACCGGCTCAGCTGAATTTTAAATTTTTTTTTAAGTCTTGAAAGAGGGAGAGAAGGAGAGAAACATCAATGTAGGGTTGCCTTTCATCATCCCCTCGGGAACTCCTGCAGGGAACCAGCCCACCCCCAAACGGCTCTCCCTACTACACCAGCCAGGGTCTTGAATTTTAAATTTTTTGACATAATTTTACTGAGTATAGCTTAACTTTAATGTATGCATTGGGTGCATTTTTTAAAAGTTGTTCAGGACTTGTGGCCAAGATACAGACATAGGTGGAAACACTGTGCCTCCTTGCACAACCAAGTTTAAAGACAACAAAGTTTTAGTAACTAAAACACAACCAAAACACAGAAAATTGAACTGTACGGAAGTCTGACAACAACGAACCGATCATCCAGACTGGTAAGAGGGGCGGGGTCAGCAGCTGGCCGAGCTAGGTTGAGCAGGAAAGAGCGGTGGCTGCCAGACTGACCCAGGCACGCAGGTGGCGGTTGGCAGATCCCAGGTATGGGGTGGCAATGAGCGGACCCAGTGAAGGAAGCCACAAGGTGGCTGACCGTAGTCACACATTCGCGCACGCAGATAAACCAGACAAAGGAGCAAGCAGTGAGACCTACCTTGCAAACCTGGGCCCCAGTGACGGGAATTAAAGCCTAAAAGCACCAGTTGGAAAAACGTTCAGGATCAAGGTGCTGGGAGAAGCTTCCAGGTGCACAGAGAGTTTGTTGGAGAGATGCACAAGGTCCTGGAGGGTGAACAAGCCCACACACCCGGGAGCCGGCACCAGGGGGGCCCGGTTTGCTTGTGGGAAGCAGCAGAAAGGACCGAAATCTGAGAGAAAATGTGGAACAAGTGCCATTGCCCCTCTCTGACCCTGCCCCTACGTAGAGTGTCACAACCCAGTGACTGGGTTGCCCCACCCTGGTGAACACCTGAAGCTCTGCCCCTCATACGTAACAGGCATGAACAGAACAAAATATTATGGCTCAAGAACAGCTCCGAAGCCCCAGAGCCAACACTTCTAAGTGACAAAAAGATAGCCAATCTATCAGATACACAGTTCAAAACATTGGTGATCAGGATGCTCACAGAACTGGTTGGTCTCAGTCACAAATTAGAGGAACATATGAAAGCTAAACTAACTGAAATGAAGGGAAATGCATAGGAAACCAATAGTGATGGAAAGGAAACTGGGACTCAAATCAAGGGAGCAGACCAGAAGGAAGAAAAAAATGACCAAACACAAAAATATGAAGAAACAATTCAAAAAAATGAGGAGAAGCTTAGGAACCTCCAGGACATCTTTAAACACTCCAACATCTGAATTATAGGGGTACCAGAAGGGTAAGAGGAACAGCCACAAGTGGAACACTTATTTGAACAAATAATAAAGGAGAACTTCCCCAATCTGGCAAAGGAAATAGACCTCCAGGAAATCCAGGAAGCTCAGAGAGTCCCAAAGAAGTTGGACCCGAGGAGGAATACACCCAGGCACATCATAATTACTTTAGCCAAGATTAAAATGAAGGAGAGAATCCTAGAAACAGCAAGAGAAAAGGGGACAGTCACCTACAAAGGAGTTCCCATCAGACTGTCAGCTGATTTCTCAAAAGAGACCTTATAGGCAAGAAGGGGTTGGAAAGAAGTATTCCAAGTCATGAAATCCGAAGACCTACATCCAAGATTGTTCTATCCAGCAAAGCTTTCATTTAGAATGGAAGGACAGATAAAGTGC